CTTCTAAGGGCAGATCTGGTCCCCAGGAAGGGAGTGGTTGCCAGAGGAGAGGGGGCAGGGCTAGCCCCGGGGAGTCTTCTCAAAGCAGGCCCTTTGTTGATTGAGCTGCTACTTTCATGGTGTCCAATCATAGGCAGCCAGGGGGCACCATGAAGGCACTGCCAGCCTCCACCAACCCCAGCCAAAACCCATGCTGTCTCCTACTCATCCTCCTCTGGCCGCCAGCTTGGACCTGGCATCTGCACAAGGTTGGCCACAGGAGTTTTGAGGGCCCTTGCTCACAAATTATTAATGATCATACAGCTTGAGACAACCCTGAACAGCAGAGCCCCAGGCCTTGGGGTACCCTGGGGTCTGGGGAGAATGTGTGTGGAGCTTGGAGAAGGAGCCTGACCCCCAGCCGGCTCCACACTGTGGCTGAGAGCATCGCCAAAGCCCTACAGTCAGGACAAGCCCTTTCCTCTCTGAATGTTCCTCTGGAGCAGATCCAGCCCAGGGGTAGGGCACAGGGCCACCCTGTGCTGTCTGGAGTCCCTGAAAGGCCTGTCCCAGCAGTTGCCTGGGGACACAGACCCATTTCACAATCCCGTGACCAAAGCTGTGTTGGGAAACAGATCTCAAACTCCAGGCTTTCTTACACCAAGAGGGCCCTCAGCTCCCACACCACCCACAGCTTTAGCCTCAGTGCTTGCTGCCCCTCCCTACCAGTGGTACCCAGCTCCCACCTTCCCAGAAAGGCTGCCCCAACTTCCTGGCCACAGTCCTTCTGCTGTCCCATCTTACAGTGCTCCCCTCTGAGTTATCACCAGATTCGCGTTCACACAGGTACAGTCTGGTCTGTCACCTCCAAGGATATTCACCTCAGGAGGGCCATGTCTCAGGACAGGCTGGTTCCCACCCGGTCTTCAGAGTGAGAGGACCCCTCCACATATGAACCCCTTCTTCCGGGATTTGGCCCCAGCTTAGCTCCCGCATCTGAGGTTCCGGCCGGCTTGCCTAGCTTTTCAGCCCTATGCCAGTAGGCCGCACAGAGCCCAGCATAGAGCATCAGGGCTGTTATTTGTCTGAAGAACAAATAAACAAGCCAGACATGATGGTCTGAGGCAGGAGGACTGAGAATTCCATGCCAGCCAGGACAACGCAGACCATGTCCATAAATAAATAAATAAACAAGAAGGGTATGGATGTGGCTAAGTTATTGCAAGACTAGGATCAATCCCAGGTACCCACAAAGGGGAAGGAACAAAAGCCGAGGGGAGGAGGGAGGGAGGGAGCACTCCCTCCACTCGGTAGTGGAGAGCACACCACAACTGGCAGAATGTGCCCATCTTGACAGTAGGCCCTGCCTCTCACAGGCAGGTTTCAGCAGGGTCAGTAAAGAAAAATCACAGCCATCCAGGTAACTTTGAACTTGGGCTGAAACATACACTTTAGTGTAGGTATGTCCCAAATACCTCCTCCCGCACATGCTTTACCTGAAATGCACACTTAACCACCTGTCCTGGATTTTCTCTGGCAGCTCTCACACCCAACGGCTACCATGAATGCTGTGGCACAGACAGTTTTCCTTACAGAGAAGTCCTACCCTCCTCTACTGTCTGCCTTAGCCAGTGGGCTGTCCATAAGCAAGCCATCAGTCTGTTGGCCTGTGAAATGGACTTTAATGACAGCTGTGTCCTCTCTTCCCTAGGGGTGACCAGAGGGTTCAAAGAGCATTAACTTCCATGCCCTGTACCCACCCACACTTCCCGCTTAGGGTCTGCCACGCGTTGGTGCCATCAGTGGCCCCGTTTTGTAGAAGAGGAAACCAGAGTCAGAGAGGTGAAGCCACTCAACTGAGGTCACACAGCCACGCCCACCCAGTCTTAAGCTTCTGTTGCAACTGTCATGCTGGACACACACTCAGCTTTACGCCTTCCAGGTAGGGCCAGATACCACGGACCATTCAATCTCAAGGGATGGGTCGAATTGTAGCACCCAGGAAATGGTGGCAAAAGCTGTCACCCCAGGCAGATCAATGGGAGGTGCTTTTCAATTTACTGAATTAATTGGTTATTTTTACCTGCTGCCACTCAACCTCCATGTGTAAAAAAATACTTTGTGGGCTGGAGAGATGGCTCAATGGTTTGGAGCATACATCCATCTTCTAGAAGACCTGAATCCATGTCAAACAGCTCACCACTACGTGCAACTCCAGACTCCCCAGGTAACCACACACACTTGGTATGTACACATAAAAGGCCAGTGAGGTAGCTCGGTGGGCAAAGGAACTGGCTGCCAAGCCTGAGGGCCTGGGGTCCCAGGACCCACACGGAAGGACAATCAACTCCTGGAAGTACTTCTCTGACTTCAAGTGTGTTACACACACACACACACACACACACACACAGACATGTAAGTAAAAACTAAATTACAAACAGCCTTATTTCCAATGCAATGATCAAGACATTCCCCATGGACGGACAAACCAGATTCCCTGCAAGAAGCCCTCTGCAAAACAGGAGCTACACTGCTCAGACCCTGTGCCATGATCCTGAGCTCCAAGGGAGTTTGTTGATTGAATGAATCACTGAAAGAAATGTTTTTGTTTTTTGGGTTTTTTTTTTTTTCCCTATAAAAGGTACCCTGTCAATGACTATTCCACAATCCCTCCCCCCACACACCTTGTAGAAACTTTTATGAAAAGGGATTCAAACCTTTAAATTCCTCAATTTATAAACATTTTACATAAATCCCCCACCGCTTGCTTTTTGCCCCCCACCCACCCGGAACTTTAAGGCCCTGGAGCAAATGATCCCTGTTCCTTTCCTTGATTTCCTTTGACACGATTCTTTTAAAACTGGCCAATCTTGAAAGATTGAGGTTGGACCCCCGCCCATGGGGAAATGCTACAGTTGCCACCTGTGTTGGAATAAGTGACAAGTGAACACTCTGCCCCAGTCTGGGTCATGCATGGTCCAACCGATTTTTTTGTTTGTGGGGGGGGGGGTTGGGGAGAGGAATGCCTTGGTAGTTACCTTCAATTTGTTCCTTGGTACAACCAGGAGGTTATTCAGTCTCAGCAGCTGAGCAGACCTGGAATGACCTCACCACCCAGCCCAGAACCCTCCCAGGCAAGATTAGTTAGAACTTTCCCTTCCATTTACAGGAGTCCAATCTCAGCCAGACCTTCCCATGCTGGGTACCTGCAGGGGAAATGACTGGAGGTGGGGGCAGGGCAGCCTCCCACGGGGAGGCCATGGCCTGGACTGGTTGTGGCTTTGAGACTGCCTTGCTTGTAGCTGGAGCAATGGTTCAGCCCTTGAGGTTTCTTTACTGTTCTTCCGGAGGACCTGGGTTCGGTTCCCAGCACTCACGCGGTGGCTCACAACCATCTGTAACACCAGTTCCAGGGACCAATCCGCACCCACCTCAGGTATAAAGATTACACATGGTGCACGCACATACAACAGGCAAAACCCATACACATATAAATACCAAGATCGACTGCCCTTTCAAACAAATGGACCAGAGGATCTCGGAATCTCCCTCGGCCGGACTGGGCTCCAGGGTGGATCCTCCAGGAAAGTCCCCAAAGCTAGGGCAGCAGAAACCACTTCCGGGGCTGCTCTGCAAACTCTAGACTACTCTCTCAGACCCACCTTCTCCTCCTCCATCCAGTCTATTAAATATAAAGTAACAATAACTTGTAACCCCTCCCCCCAGGGGATAAGGAGGTGCGGCCTGTGCAGATCTAAAGTAGGGTCGTGTATGAGGATAAAACTCAGGTTTCAACTTCCTGTGCCCTCAACTTGAACTTTGCAGACCACTTGTCCTGGCTGTAAAATGGAGACAAGTCAAATAATACTTTTGCCTCCCCAAGTAGCTGCAGGGTCTCTGGCACACAGTAGGCCCACCATACGAGCCACTAGGAGGTTTAGAAAGGGGTCAAAAGGGCACACTTCATATTTGAGGCTGGAGTCGCGCTAGGGATGGGAGGCCTCTTATGTAATAGTTTAATATCTTTGTAGCTGGAGCATGGGTTCCAGTAGCTCTCGAGTAATTAATTACAACTTAATGAGCAAAAAGCCCAGTCCCATGACCCCCTTTTCACTCTGAGGCGCATACGCCAGCCGGTGGGGCAGCAGATCGAGAGTGGGTAACTGCTTGGGTGTCCCATGACAGTGACCCCCACACAACTCTTAATCCTGGGGTTCTAATTTACAAGTCTAGGGCCCCGGGTGCTTCTCTCGGAGCAATCCAGGGCGTGTCTACAGGAGTCCCAATCTATCTAAAACCCAGTTAAAGCGGCGGGAGGTGAGGGTTGGGGGGGTGGGCGCTGGCGCTCTTCTGGCCACAAAGTGGAAAACTGGAGTTTCTTGAAAAACCCGGCCACGGGTGGGTCTTTACCCCGGGGCTCACCATGCTCTGATTTCCATGCACTGAATCCCCCAAGGCGACCCAGAAACCGCATAGTCTTCGGGAGCCCCCCAAGAGCCTAAGTGCAGGACCCCAGGGCCAGGAGTTGTGTGGAGAACACCCTAACTTCTCGTCTTGAGTGTTGTTCCGAATTGCAGCCGCCGCAGGCCTGGGAACCCTCAGGGACCTGACCCGGGGACTCCCGAGGGCGCCGAGTCTACGCAGCGCGGGCGCCGGGTCTACGCGGTCACGGGGCTCGGGCCCTTTAAGAGCCCGCCCCGCGCGCGGCGGGCCCGCCCCCCGGGCCGAGGAGGGTGCGGGGGCCGTCGGCGGGGATTGGCGCAGCGCGCGCCCCCTCCGCGGCCCCCGCGCGGTGGGAACCGGCAGCCCCGTCTAGCGCTGACGTCAGACCGTCTGCCTGCCTCCGACCGCGGGCGCGCGGCGCAACCCGATCTCCTTGGACTTGAATGAGGAGCGGGCGGCGGCGCTCGGCAGCGGATCGGCCGGCGCGCAGGCTGAGCCCGGCGGCCCCGCGCCCCGGCCGCCCGCCCGTGCCCCGCACGCCGCCCGCGGCCACGGCCCGCCGCCCCGGGGTTCCCGCTCGGTGGCCGGGGGACCCAGCTCGCTCCGGGGACCTCGGCGGCGCCCCGAGCCCGCGCCGCGCCGCTCGCTGTATGCGGGGCCCGAGCCCCGCGCGCCGGCCGGAGCCGCCCCCGCGCCCCGCGCCTCGCGCCCCGCGCCGCCCGTGACCGCTTGATGGGGGTCAACGGCACCGCCGCCGCCGCCGCCGGGCAGCCCAATGTCTCCTGCGCGTGCAACTGCCAGCGCTCTTTGTTCCCCAGCATGGAGATCAGTGAGTGAGCCCTTTACCCCCGGGACAGCCCCGTGGGATCCCCGGCCCGGGACGTCGCGATCGCGTGGGGACTCGGGGGCCGCGCGCCTGCCTCGCCCAGGCTCCCCGGCTGCGCCCGCCGCGCCCGGGGCGCGCCCTCCCGGAGACTCGCGGCAGCTGGCGGCCGGCCCGGCTTTGTCCCGCGGCGCTGCGAGCCTGGCACGGTCCCCGCCGCGCGCGCCCCGCCTGGCCCGACTCGGACCCGGGGCTCGGCGGGGACATCGCGCCGCGCGGGAGGGCCAGGCGGGTCGGTCCCGGGAAGTTTCCATTCCGTTTTCCCTAGGGGCCGAGGCGATGGAGCAATTAGGCTCTTTATCAACTTTGGGCGGGGGGAGCGGGCGGGGGAGACACTGTCTGGCTCGGGAGGTGTCTGGGGCTCTTGGCGTGTGTCTGGAATGGCCGTGGGGATGCGTCCCGGGTTTCCGTGCATCTGTGAAGTGCGCTGGTCTGTCTGTCTGAGTCTCGGCGCGTCTCTGGATGTCTGTGGATTTGAGTCGCGGTCTGTGGCGATGTGTGTGTCCGAGTGGCCCTGCATCACTGGGTGTCTGATTTGGTGTGTGCGTATGGCGGGGGTCGATAAGTTCTGGATCCAGACAGATCTGAGAACCGTTTATGTCCAGGTGTCTGAATCCAAAGCTCAGCGCTGGTGCGTCTAGCCCACCGCGGGTCCCCAGTGTGTGTCATTGTGAATGTCTGTCCCGGACTCCTATAAATAGCCTCTGTCTGGACTGCTTGGCTCACTCCGCCTGGGATGGTGGTTACAAATGAGTCAAAGTTTTGGGGTTGTTTGTCTTGGGGCCTCATTGGAGGTGATAGACCCAGAGTGGTGAGTGCAGTGCTTGAACCTGGAGCCCTTGTCAGCATCCTGAACCTCCAGAAGTTGATATCAGAAAGCGTCTGCTTCCTTCTGTGTGGCCCACCCAGGTGGCTGTTGGGTTGAACGAGGAGGAATTGGAACCTCAGCCCTGCCATCTGCCCGTTAATCTGTATCCTTCCCTTAACTCGCTTTTTGGGGCCACCTTTTGCCTGTTTAGTTTCCCCGTCTTACCCCAAAGCATTCCAGGCAAAAGGGCACCCAGCCTTTCCCTAACCCAGACATCCTTCCTCTAGCGGAGCCCAGGGGCAACTGCCACAGAACAGGGCAGTCAGTCGCTAGGTGACTCATAAGCTGGTTTCGCAGGCAGCTGCTACAGTTTGTGCTCCCCCATCCCCAGCCCCCAGGCTGCACAGTGAAGCACAAGGGATAAAAATAACCCACGACCAGAGCGCCCCACCTGGCTGGGGAAGCAGGCTTGGGGGGGGGGGTCCTGGTGTCTACCTTGACTCCCAGGCTGGAAGTGAAAGCCCTGGTCTCCCTGTATCCCACCTCCTCCCACCTGCCTTGTGCCTGCCCCAAGCCGGGAGATGTCAGGAGAGCCTGCCGGGAGCCAGGGTTTGTGGTCTTCCCTTGGCGCCAAACCCTATTGCTTCCTAGGAGCCCCCGTGTGATCTAGGGAGGTTCATGAAATTCACCAGGATGTTATTAAAATACGTCCTCACATGTCTGGGGAGAGGCTGACCGCAACTCCGTGGATTTGCCTTGTTTCCCTCCTCATGTCGCCTTAGGGGACCTCCCACGGAAGTGAGGGGCCTACTTCATATGACACCACATTCCAGAGTCTAGGCACAGTAGGACACTGTGGTTTCATTGGAGCAACCCTAGGGCCAGCAGGGCACTGCCAAGCCTGAGGACCTGTGTTCAGTCCTTTGAGAGAAAGAGCTCATAATTGGCCCTGATAATGTCTTGGTTGAGGCCAAGATGGCTTGAAACTCTTGGTGGCATACCCAGTGTTCTCCCCCACCAACAAGGTTAATGTTTGGAAATCCCCACCACCCACCAGGGTTAGTTCAGACAATTGTCCCCACAGTGTCTAAGTAGAGTACAAAAGGGAGAGGCTCGCTTTGATAATGTAACAGTTTGTTGCTAGTGTTCCCTAAAAGTCTGCTTTGAGGAAGCCCTGAGGCCTGGTATTTCCTGGTAACCCCTGGGAGAATGCGAAGGCTGCTTTACCTAACAGGATGGAAATTCCTGCCTGCTAGAGGAAAGGACACTTGTCTAAAAGGGACTTTTAAGCCTTGCTGGCCCTCAGTTTCCTCACTGGAAGAGAAACCTAAGCTACAATCCTTGACCCCACCCCTGTCCACAGAAGCTACAGTGCTCGTGGCTCCTCCCCAGCCCCGCCCCCCGCCCCCCCATCCTCCCCACCCCCGCCATCCTCCCCACCCCCGCCATCCTCCTGTGCATTCTTCAGATGTCCTATGCTTCAGACTTGGATGAGATGAGTGAGCTCGGAGCTCCTGTGCTTCAGGTAGAAATGAGGGGAAACCAAGGTAGGACCAAATGAGTCCTTGATCTGAGTTGTTTCTCTTGGACCCCATGTGCTGTTCCTTGAATTTGGAACTTGAGTGACAGAGCGAGCCCACCTTAGGCTTAGGGCTTGAAAGCGCTCTTGGGGACCAAGCTGAGTCCACAGCCTTGAGGGATCACCCCTTGTCACACCTACATACTTTTCTTGGCACTTTCCAGCTCTTTGCGCATCTACTCTTCCTCAGAGTGGAACCCTGACTTCTACTCCTGCTTTACCTGCGGTGGCTTGCAGAGCAGACCCCCACACGCCAGGAGAACGTTCTGGACTGAGTAGGTGCTGGGGTACCCAGTCTTGGCTGGTCTGCATTCATTTTACCAGGGCCCAGCACCTTGGTGGTAGGACGAGTAGGAGCAGCTCAGTTGTTGATAGCACTGTCTGCCCAGGGTCCTGGAGCCACTGATTCCTTCCCCTAACTCAAACCATCCCAGGGCTGGAAAGATGGCTCAGTGGTTAAAGCTCCCCATGGTGCACCTGAGGTTAGAGACATACATTGTAACCCCGGTGTTGGGGAGGTAGAGCTCTTGAGGGTTTGCTGGCCAGCCGGTCTAGCACAATAATAGTCCAGGCTAGTCAGTGAGTCACCTGTCTCAAAAAAATAAAGTAGGGATCTGCAAGATGGATCAGCAGACAAGGGCAATTGCAGCCAAGACTGATGATCCGAGTTCAAACCCCAGGACACACATGATGGCAGGAAGGAACCAACTCTCCAAAGTTACATGTCCACTCACACACCCACACACATGAGTCTACACACAGGTACAGGCACACTCACATTCTAAATAAGTATGTGTTTAAAAAACCATGTTTGAGTTGAGGTGAATAGCACTTGAGGACCAACACTCAGTGTTCTCTGGCCTCTGCATGCGTGCGTACCTGCATGCATGTCCCCCCTCCACACACCACTCCACACACACACTCACAGGATGCCCAGTTTTCCCTGGGGTGCACACCGTTTGTATTTAGCAGTGTTTGAATTCGGGGTGACTCAGCCTCCAGCCTGGGCCAGATGACTGTTGGGAAGGAGAAGACTGGCCGGGGCAGGAGGCCCTATGCACCCAATGCCAGTACCTCTCTCTGTGACACACAGACTGTCTCCAGCCATCTACAAATGCCCCTACCCACCCAATGCCAGTACCTCTCTCTGTGACACACAGACTGCTCCAGCCATCTACAAATGCCGTGCTGGGAAACACTTTCGGCTTCCACAGAGACACTTGGGTGCTGGAGAGGAACCTTTCGGAAATCAGCCTTTTGTCCTTGACGTTGACACCTGCTGCTTATCCAGCCAGCTTTTATTGAGCGCCCATATCACAGAGGAAGGAAGTATCTCCAGATGCTTTCCAGCCTGAGTGTGTTGGGGGAAAGTTCTGGCTCCAGGGCAGGAGGTGTTCCTGGGTCCGGGGTGAATGCACATTGAACTGCAGCTACTTCCCTCGTGGGCTTCTGCACTGGGACTTTTAACCCACGGTTCCCTGCTGTCTGGGATTTACATCATTAGGCAGCAAGGGAGCTGTGTGTTGTGACTGTGGTCTTGGACCAGACAGGCCAGTTTGGAGTCTGTCAAGGTGCAAAATAACTGTTTGTTGGTACACTCATGGGAATGATCTCACACCTGTGGGCATGAGTGTGTACACACAGCTACTGTTGCTAGCTGCCTTCCCTCTGAGTTAGGGGGAGAACCGGGAAGTCTCCTGGTGCTAGAAGTTGCACTTTTTTTTTTTTTTTTTTTTTTTTTGCTGTCCTTGTAAAGAGGAGAGCAAAGTGGTGTGTATGTGTGTGGGGGGGGGTGGGGGGTAAACCCAGAAAGAGAGGTTCTGAGGCTGGCAAACCCAGAGCCCTGAAAAGTAAAGAAATCCACAGGCAGGCCTGGAACTCTTGAAATGGAACTTGGGAGGCTGAGCTGCCTCTCCCACCCCACACCCCACCCCCGACAGTATCAGCATCTTTGAAGATGCTGTAACTGAGGACAGGAGGTCAAAAGCCTCCAGTTTGCTCTTTGAAAGTCATAGCATAACATGTGTGTGGCCCACGCGTGTGGAGCTGCATGTCTGCGTGCCTGCTTTCTGTGTCTCAGGGAACCCTGAAGAAGGTACCACGCTGCCCTCATCCCTGGAAGGCGCTGTCAGAGGCCAGTGTAAGAGGACTGAAGACAATCACAGCCTCTCTGGTATACTCAGGGAGCTGGGGAGCTGGGTTGAGGGTGGAGCCCACGGATTTGCTAGGTGAGGCACAGACTACCAAACCACAGCCTCTGCCTCTCCTGGGCTCTAAATGCTGGCAGTTTTTACTTTTATTTTCTCTCCTGCCTCCAAAAAAGCCTATAAAACCTACCCACAGACATAGGGTACCATTGAGTGACCTGTAGAGTGGCCCAAAGATGGGGAAACAGAGAAGCCCAGAGTGGCCATCGCCCTGTCCTGTCATGTGCCCTATCAGGATGTGGTCCACAGCTCCCCTTTGTACTGGGATGAGGCAAGGGTCTGGATGGAGGCTATTGTCTGGGGTGGGGGTGGAGGTGGGGGTGGGCTCAGATTAGCCGGGACTGTTTTGCCT